AGCCAAGAAAATAAAAACTTTCTACTTCTGAGATACAGCTCCCCCTCCCAGTCTTTCTATGTTTCTCTTGTCTCCCCTGATCTCTATACTAAGGTTCACTTTTTCTCTTTTGTGCAATAGTCAATCTATGTGCTCCAAGCCCTGTGGCAGCTAGAATAAAGTTTTGGTACAGTGGCTTCATATCTTGCAAGCTGGCTCATGCATGTTTTACTACATTTCATAGGCTTTGCCAAGATAACCTCTTACATTCCTGACAGCATGCGTGTTATATATCTGTACCTTTTATTCACCTGGAAGGTAAATTCTTTAGACATGTGACATCTGTCCTAAAATACTCAAGCCAAAATGCATTTTGCAGAATTCATGAATCATTTGATGGATATGAAGAATCTTTAGAGAATCGTGTATGACTCCTTTACTCAGTGTGTATTTACTGAATACCTACTGTGTGAAAACATGGTCCAGAATTGAGGTATTTTATCCCAAGATATGAAAAGACAAAAGTCCCTCACTTCCCACAGTGTTTACTGCTGTGCACAGGGGAGAGTGAGTTCATTCCCAGTGACACAGCTAATCAAGATTTTAATTAGGAACTACCAGTTTTCCATTAACCACTCCCAGGAACGTGTAACTTGAGGCTTGCATGAAGGCTTGTGGAAAATGAGTTTGCTTTTGTGTTTAAATTTCTGCTCTTGGAAGGTTGGTCCTGCTTTTAGACCTGTGTTGAACCTCCCTTTCTCTCTTTCCTCTACATATTAACTTCAAATTGCTGCATTTCCTAGAGATGGAAATGCATTCAAATGCGTTCTGTGCAAAAAGAGAAAGAAACCACACAGCTTTCATTGAATTGAAAATGTTTGCTAGAAACAAGTACTGTAAATGTGTATGTCGGAGTGTGTCAAAGCAAACTGTAATTTACTATGGCGACGTTGGTCAGTCCAGAGGAGCAGACCACAAGAGACACATATTTAGCGTAGGCTGGATACATCTGAAAAAGAAATTTATGGTTCACATGGAGGCAGAGTGCTCAGGTCACAAGGGACTCTGTATTACTGAGAGCAGTTCAAGCATCATTCTGTTATTTCTGTCTCATTGGTTTATCCCTCCCTTTCCTTCTTTTGACCATGCAGAGACAACTTGCTCTGCTTTCCTAGTCACCAGAAGCTCAAAGTGACCCTCTCAACATTAGCAAAGCTAAGACAAGATCTTCTTGCTCTTAACTCTGAGGTGACGTTCACACCTGAGAAAAATCAACATGAAGAAGAGCTACTTAGAAGAGCAGAGGTCCATGTCATAGGAGAAGCTTGAGGGATGGGAGACAGGGACACAGCTATACCTGACAGGGCCACCAGGGTTCATGGACCATCTCTACGAAGGGAGATAAATAGTTACCTCTTCCTCATGGCTCCACAGGGCCACACGGATTAGAAGAACATCTGTGTTTCAGCATGAAACAGATGAAGATCTGTAGCCTCACACCACCTTCTTGGTGCTGTATTTCTACCCAGAGCTGGCACATCACTGAAGTTCTTAGTACGGCGTGTGGAATCAGAATGCTTCCAGTCAGTTGGTTTCTAGTGGTTGCAACAAAATAGAGAAGAAAATCAACTTCAGGAAGGAGCCGGTGATGCGGACTGGTGAGAGTTCAAGGCTTCAGAACGCAATCAGATGGCCCTTTCATTTCTGGGTTAGTGATAGGACAGGAGGTCATGTTTGGAGGGTGTGGCAGAGGAAGGGTGCTCATTGATGGTGGCCAGGAAGCACACAGAAAGATGAAGGAAGTGGCCAAGTCCCCATGTGTCCTTCTAGGGGGATGCCCTCAGTTTGCGTCCTGCAGCTGGACTCCGCTTCTTGCATCTCCCAGCACCTAACAACTGTGCCATCAAGTTATGACCCCATCAGTGGATTTGAAGAGGTTGGAGTCATCATAATTCAATCACTTCCCAAAAATCTCACCTCTGAACATTACTGCTTTGAAGACCAAACCTTCCATGGGCAAGCCTTTGGGAGAACTTTCGAACCATAATGATTCTCTTACCAAGCACCTGCCCTGGTCAAATTAACCTCTATGAATCACAGTGTGCCCACATGTAAGATGTACATGCTGTGGTCACAGTGTTTCCCTTTTACTACATGGATAGAGGGAGATAATAACTGGTTAGCAAACACAACAACCTTTCATTAGACCGAGGTAATAAATTCAAGGGCTCTGCTGAACAATATGGCAACCGTAGCTAAGCATAATATTGTATGCTGGGAAGTTGGTTAAATGGTAGACTTTAAGTGTTCTCATCGTGTAAAAGTGCTGTGTGTGAACTCTTTGGATCTGCTTCCTGCATCTGTAACAGTGCATCATGGATTGAGTGATTTATAAAGACAAGCAATTTATTTCTTAAAGTCTTGGAAGGTAGCTGTAAAGGTTGAGAGGCCCAAATCTAGGTAGTTTATTCTTGCTTTATTATTCCACAGTAGAAAGCAGAAGAACTAGAGAGAGAGAGAGAGCGAAAGAGAGAGAGAGAGAGAGAGAGAGAGAGAGAGAGAGAGAGAGACAGAGACAGAGACAGAGAGACAGAGACAGAGAGGAAAAGGAGAAAGAGGAGGAGAAGGAGAAAGAGTAGACTTGCTTTATGAAAACTTACTCTCACAATAATGACATTAATCTGTGCATAGGAGCAGAGTTTGCATGATCTACCTACTTATAACATCCCTCATCCCAGCCACGTCACATTAGAGATGAAATTTCTAACGCATGACCTTTGTGAGACACAGTCAAACCACAGCAAGTGGTGATGTGCATGTTAATTAGACCAATCAAACCGTTCCTCAAGATGAGCAAGTTTTGCAACATCATGCCGCACAACATAAACATAAGTGATATTTATTTTCCCTCTAAAGAATAAACACATCATTTTGCAAAGAGACAAATAGCTTCAGGGTGCCTAGTCCTGGATCTGAAACACCATCCCAGCTTGGTACATATTAACTTATTCATCAGTGCACCTCGGATGATATGAATCTGTAGAGCTATGCATTAGCTCCTATGATCACACTCATGAAGTAGACAAACCTGTAGACAGTCACTCTAGTTGCTGTGGTGATTATAGTTCCTCACAAACACAAAATCTGTATGATGAAGACAGAGGTTAAAAGTACTCAACTTCCCATTTCTCTCGGTGGTATGCCTTTAAACACTGTTTCCCATTGTGTGTGGTCATCTTGCTTAAATGCTTTTGCCCATGGCAGTTTGTAGGATTTTCCTCCACACACTTGATTCACACTTGAAAGATACTTCCAGCCATGCCAACAGCTCCTCCATCTGTGTATCACCCAGAGGCTCTCATTAGACTTCAGGGAAATTGTCTCAAAGATCAAAGGGCCATCCACACCTTTACCGTCTGACCCTGTTTGCTCACTGGTGGCATGCTTCTTAGTAACCTGTGGCACCTCTCTGCCTGCAGAGTGGTCCTAAGGATTCTCTGTTGTGTGGTGCAGGCTGTTCCATTTCCATTCTTGCTTGAATTATTAGTTTTCTTGCCTAAAGTGCACATTAGAATCCCTGAAAAACACAGGAGGACTTTATGGAGCTTAGGGAACAATGCATCTTATTTCACTTGAAGTTTTTCTCAGAGGAGTTTAGATAGAGAGGTACATGAATCCAAAGTACCTATCTTGGTGGTGTCTCACAATTATCAGCCATAAGACCAAAAAAAGTAGAGTATTATTCCTGTCCTGAAAGATATGTTCATGCTCACTGTGAGACTTTACACCATCCCCAAATGGTGACACAATCAGTTAATCTTGCTTCTTTCCAAAGTCCTGGCACACTGAAATATTCTATTGGCACAGGCAGCTGAGTTAGACAGAAATATTGTAGGCAGTCAGGTAGGACTGAGCCCTCAAGGAGCCAGAGCAGAAGGACAGATACCTTACAACTGTGGGGGAGACAGACATCTCCGCTGTAGGCCAGGCCTCAAGACAAAAGATAGATCAAATGTACCCACATCCTAAGGACTGATATTCTAACCAGGTTTCCATCACTCTGAGGAAGCCAGGAGTCACCATCCCAATCACCTACAGGAAGAGTCTTTGCTCTGTTTGTATGACCCCTTGCTATCTGACTCACTTTACCATTGGTCCCTGATTTAATCAATTTTACCTGAACAGTTAATCTTATTGGTTGACCGTAGTTTTGTCCCACCTCCTGCCCACCTTGTATGTTTGGACCTGCTTTACCTTGGGATTTTGCTCTATAAAGTCCTTAGAGAAGATAGGGTCCTTGGCAACCCACTGAAGACCCCCCTTTCTCTCTCTCTCTCTCTCTCTCTCTCTCTCTCTCTCTGTGTCTCTCTCTGTCTGTCTCTGTCTCTCTCTCTCTCTCTCTCTCTCTCTCTCTCTCTCTCTCTCTCTCAGACAGGAGCTTTCTCTCTTGCAATAAATATATTCTGCTCTTAACCTCTGTTGTTCCTAGAATTCATTCCTCAATTTTAGAGAACATGAACTCATACTAAACATATAGGAGGTTGGGAGCTTCATTCCTCTATCTCACTATTTCCTTCTCCTTTCTATCATTCATACTGTTGGTTTTCATTTATGTTAATTTTAATTTTAATTTTACTTATTATGGCCTTGGGGATTGAACCCAGAGCCTTATGCATACTAGTCAAAGCCTTCTGCCACAGAGTTCCATCATCAGCACATACATACAAGTATTTGTCTATTTATTACTTATTAAATTTTGAAGCAAGTTTGCTTTAAGTTGCTTGCTGGGGACTCCAACTTGTGATCTTCCTGCCTCAGCTTCCAAAGTACCTAAGATTACAGGTGTATACTGCCATACGCAGGTTGGTGTCTATTTTTACAACTTGATTTTCAAATATTCCAGGGAAACATGTGGCCATGTTCTGTCAGTTGAACTAGATATTCCAAGTACAGCTTGTCAAATAGTGCAATCGAAGGTATACCTCTTTTTAAAATTTTCCTTACAGCTATGTATCACTAACTAGACAATCAAGGCTAATGTTACATCCCACATTTTTAAAAGTGGCTTAGGATTTTTATATTTTCACTCTGGCCCAACACTATTTGCATGCATTGACTCCCAAATCTTTGGACCACAATGGATATAATCAGCCTGCTTGTATTTGCTTATATGTTGTTATGGATTAAGAACTGGTGGTCAACTTAACACCAGCTGGATTACATCAACATGGCACTGAGCAAAGATGCTCCAGCTGAGGAAAGTTGCCAGCATAAACAGGTGGAGATGGAGAAGAAAGGCATTAATGTGTCATTGCATTGAGGCACTGTGGGTTCTCCTACGAGTTGCTGTTTGAGCCATTGATTCTCCTGGAGAAGCTCTGGTCCTCATATTGAGCATTGCTTCCTGGCTCTGGAGGGGAAGACATGTGCCCCTTGGTCTCCAGGATGAACTCCTCACACGGGCTTCCTGGCATGTACCCAACTGTGCTTGTCATGGGAGGAGTTTGGGGCCTCTGTGTTGCTGAGGATGGCTGTGGTGCCTTTCAGGACAGCCCTGGTCTTTCTTGTGAGTGTGACTTTTTGGCTACAGCATAGAATCCTCATCCTACAGCACAGCTCCTTCACCCTGCTGGCATGGACTTTCTGGCTTCCACCGCTGACTTTTGGGCCTTCCCAGCATGGATCCATAAAAGAGACTGGTGTGAGTATTTGTGGGCTCTGGACCTCCAGTTGGACTCATGGGAGGCATTGTCATGAGCTCTGGGTTTTCATCTGGACTCATGTGGGACACTGCTGTGGGATTCAGGCCTTGACTAAATATTCTATGTCTTTAGTGTTTTGGATAGATTTCCTGCATTTTCTTGTGTTAACTCCCGGTGACCATCATAAAATAATATTATAACTCCATGTCCTGATTCTAATTGTCCTCTGTACAACTCCTGACTATAACACACGTCTTGAGAGGTTGCTCTTTATTCTAACTCATTTTGACTCAGTTTTTAGGATCAATCCTTCAACCTATTGTTCTGAGTTTGGACTTCCAAATATTTTGTTCTCTTTCATACAAGGAACTTGCTTTTTTCTTTCCAACTTTCCCAGTTTAACTCCTCATACTGAATATGAGTAATTACCTGTGTCTTTATTAGGAAGCCTAAGTGTTATGTTCAGGCAGATTCTATCTTCTCTAATGAAGCAACGGTAAACATCACTTCATTTACAAGTTTCTATCCTGTTTTGCACGTAAAGAGTCACAGGACTTTGTCATCTCGAGCTATTTCTCACAGATTTCCTAGTTTTGTTAGGAAACTTTGAAATAGATGAAAGAGAACAATTTAAAATGTAAGGTGAGTTTACTATTGTATTTACGAGGCCATCTGCTTGAAGCAAATTAATCTTTATAAAAATGATTTACAACTATATTTCATTTTCTATACTATGGTACTCAGTGAGAATATTTCACCCAAAATAGCAAGCTATAGGCTAAATTGAAACTATGGTAGTTTCTTAGAGGTTAGAGTATTTCCGGAAGAGAAACACTGTCAATAATTTCCATTATGAATAAATGCACTAAATGAATTTCACTTAGGATGTCAACACTTGAAGGTGTACTCGCCACTGATTTTCCAAGATTGAAAAATGAGCTTTTCTCCATTTATAACAATAGCACAGAAAGCAAATACACCCAAATCAAAACATCCCTGAATCATATCACTATTATCTCAGATAATGAAGAATGGAACTAATTTACTTTGAATCAAAATAAAAACCTTATTTACATCAGAGACTAATAGCCTAGGAGCTCACTGGACCCTACGTCAGGTTTGAACATAGAAATTTGTGTTCAGAGCCCTTGAGGGGTAATGTCCTTGGCTGGGCACACAGGTACCCAGCAATCTTGGGGTAGAGAAAGAGTTCAACCCCACCATTGTGCTGGTGGTGTTGATAATGGTTCCTTTCCTACCCGCCCCCCATAACTCATTAAAAGCATGCCACCCACATTTCAGACTGAATTTCCATCATGTGGGGTCTCAAGTTGTTTACATCCATTCTGCATTAGCACCTCACGTAAGATGAAAGATTCTCTCATCTGTAAAATTAGGATATACGAATAGAAGGATGATTTGATGATTTTCCTCATGTTGATCAAAAACAGGGTAGAGGATAAGAATTTGAGTTTGTATCTGTTAGTGTATTGTAAATTGAGATCAGAAGACTTGGGTCCTCTTGACCTGTGACTTTTATAATTCCACCTGAGAACTCAGCAGTGAATGTATGGGATATTGGTCATCTTTCCGATGCTTAGAGTAAGGATTGTATGCAGATAGCAAAGCCAATCTCCACTGAAAGCTATGCAGGACAAAATGTCAGCTAAAAAAGACACAGACTGATGTACAACAGCACCCAGTATACTGAGTTTTCTAAACTGATGTTACCCCTCAACTCTGAGTTGAGGAAATGTCGACTGACATAACAGTTTCCATGGCTGGAGGAGACTCATTTAACACATGCCCCAGAGTACTTGTGATGGTAGGTATGTCGAATTGGCCTTACTGTTTTAAGCAAACCATAAATGTCAGGTTAAAGAATTTTGCATCATATTTGAAATCTATCATTTCCTATCAGGGGCACTTTCGATTAATGGCATTTTTTAGTCTTTGCAATTTTATTTTATTATTATTATTTTTTTTATCGGTACAGGGGATCAAACTCACGACTGCCTGCTTGCAAGGCAGGCGCTTATGCCGCTGAGCTAAATCCCCAGCCCTAGTCTTTGCAATTTTACATTCAGTAATACTTTTTTTTTTTTTTAAATCAGTACCAGGGATCGAATTCACAACCGCCTGCTTGCAAGGCAGGTGCTTATGCTGCTGAGCTAAATCCCTAGCCCCCTATTCAGTAATAGTCTTAAGACTTGATGTTTTCAAAAGACTTTTAAAAAGTATACTGTTTGAATCAAATTGCTTGGTAATGTGGAACATTTTGCTAGTGTTCAATTGACATTTCATTTTTTTTTTTTTTTTTTTTTGTCTTTTTCGTTTTTATCGGTACTGGGGATCGAACTCACGACCGCCTGCTTGCAAGGCAGGTGCTTATGCCGCTGAGCTAAATCCCCAGCCCCTGACATTTCATGTTTTAATAAATCCTTCCATGGAAACAGATGTAAAAGCATGAAGCTTCTCCAGAAATGACATCACAAATGCACACACACACACACACACACACACACACACACACAGAGAGAGAGAGAGAGAGAGAGAGAGAGAGAGAGAGAGAGAGAGAGAGAGAGCAAACACAGCCCCCTTGGGTGTCTGTGTTCTAATAAACACCTGAGAAGTTGGTAAATCAATATGCAAGTAGAAAGCATTAAATGAGGAAAACACATGCTTTGTGTATTAAAAGATTGTTCATGTGTGCATCCTCAGGAGGAATTAAAAATGGTTTAGATTTCCATTTGGATAAGACACACAAAAAATAGAGGTTAAAGAAAAATGCACCCTAAATCAACCATCTGATTATTCAGGTAGGGAGGACGTGACCCATTCACCCTCCAGATGTCCAAAATCTTAAGACAGCTGTGTCCATAAAAGGAGAGGCAGAGTTAATTCAGACAAGTTTAAGAGCAGGAGCTACATTTGGTTGGCAGTCCACTGGGATTGAGGACTTTAAAGCTATTGTTCATCCTTAAAGTGACCTGTAAGGAGAATGTAGTGAGACAAGGACCCCTCACAAGTCAACAGGCATTTCTTGGGGGTCCTCTGTGGCCATTTATCCTAAGCATCAGCAGGGTGTGAGTTGGGAATGAATGTGTGAACCACACAGACTCTTCAAAGAGGAGGCAAGATGTTTAAGCACTGGTAGCCATTAAAGACAATGATAACAAATTCAAGAATGTCACTAATACCCCTGCATTATCAACCTGGGGGATTCCGTTGAGCAGTTCCCTTAGCTGACAGCTTTTAAAATCTTTTTCATAATGTTTCTCCTAGTGATGTAATTATACAGCATCCTCAATTCATTTAAGACTTACAGTAAATACTTACTAGGATGTAGGCTTCTGTCTTTCTGCTTTCTGTATTGAGGTGAACCAAGGATTTCCTTTTAACAGAGGAGATTTTTCTTGAATTGCCAACAATTCCACCACTTTCTACCATCTTGGTTTCTCCCCAGGTTTAGTTAGTAACAGCCCCTGCGTCGCTAAATCACAAGCTGCTTTGCTCATGCGACTCAGTTTATTTGCATTTGAAATGCATGGTAATCCTTTGCCTACATAACAATGCGCTGGTTCCCTGCACCTCACACTTTCCTCTTCTCTTGTAACTGTCTTGGATTTATTTTTCTTAGAGAATTGCATATGGTGCTTTAGAGCATTACAGTTTTACTCAGCAAAGACAAAATTGGAAAGGCAATGCATCCTACAGCTGTTTGGGGGAAAAATACATATTTGATGGTGGTGGGAATCCAAAACACACTTAGAAGGTTCTGTTTGCACCACATTACACATTCTGTTCATCAGTTTTATGCAAGTTCTTTACTTGCAGCTACTGAGAGATCTTGCTTTCTAAGATTGGAAAGGAAAAAATTGGTGGAGATTTATTTAGGAATAAACCAGGCTGTACGATATTGCATATTTCCAGAGGCATAGGCCAGGAAGTCACAAGGCAGTTGTTGTTGGCAGGCCAGAAGGCAGGACTCAGAGTCATTGTAATTGTAGATGAAATAATAATTATTCGGGATCATTTGCTAATCAGCCAAACCATAGAAGAGGCTGCTGACAAGTGACAGGGAAGTAATTAAGGTGAAGGGCTGTATTTGCATTCATTTACACTTTGATCATTGTTTGCAAGAGTTCCTCTCTAGAAATAGATTTGGCTTCTTTGAAGATGCAGGCTAAATCAAAGCATTGGAAAAGTAAGAAGCCTGTGTTCACGATATTTAAAAATCCCACGCTCAACCCCCCACCCTGATGGATGTCTAAAGATTCTCTTGTCTTTACTAATAAGATCTGGTTCACCTAATGATTTTATAAAACTGTCACGGGTAGCTGATCAATCAGTAATTGTTTGTCAATATCCACAATAAATGCTGAAATTGGGAATTTCATTAACAAGTAAAATAACAACCCTAGTTATGCTCTTCCCATCTTGTTTTGAAGGAATATAGTGTCAGTGTTATGGGCTCTTTGTTATTGCTATTTACATGTCTTTTACATTTCATGTTTTTTCTAGGAATTTGTTTTGTTTTGTCTTGGTCTGTTCTGTTTTCCCCTCTAATACAGAAAGGAGAAGCGTACTTGTAGAGATTGATGCATGCATAGAACTTTTAAAAAGTTTATGAGAATCGATTATATAATGCATGATGAAATGAACAGCTACTTCGAAGAAAAAGAGACACTAAGGTACCCAGTGCTGATTCCATATCATCATAATGTGAAATCCAGGAATACTATTATCCTTTGTTCAGAGTGATTTTAGTCTATTTTGTTTTGTTTAATTTCAGCATACGTGAAGGTATGGGCAGCTATTTTGAAGAGAATGAGAGACACCATGGCAGCCAATGTTGACTTCCCTATTGTCTGGTCTTATAGACCTAAAATGCCTTCATCATCCTGTTCTGATCAGTTCTATACTATTTTGTTTTATATGAATTCATTGTATGTGAAGGTGTGGACAACTATTTGGAAGAAAACAAGGAACAGTATGACAGACAGTGAAGATCTCTGGTCTTGCTTTGAAATCTGTGTCTCTTACATTGTTATCTTATGATCTACTTTGCTGTGTTTTGTTATGTTTAATTTTGTCCTCTTTAAAAATTAAAAATTTAAAAAAAAACAAGCTCCTGGGGCTGTTTGAGACATGTCATTATCGATCACATGATACATCACATTGACTCAGTCTGCTTGCGGCATGGTCTGTCCCAACATTTATGCAGAAACAGTCATGGCTATTTTATATCAGTTGTCAAGTGTTGGTGTTGTGGCTTGCATGTAGATGTTCCCCCAAAGCTTCATTTGGCTGTAGTGGGGTTTTCAGGGGTGACTGGACCTAGAATGTGAAACTCTGGGATTGGTTCATGATGCCACGGTAGTTTCAAGGGCTCTAGGATAAGATATGAGCTCTACCTGCCCTAGATTACCTGCATAAGATGATTGGGGTAAAAAGGCAAAGGTAAGGTTTGTTGCTTTGTGACTTCCTGTCAGCAACGAACTATTCTCCCATCCTGCCAATTATGGACCAAAACCTCTGTTACAAACCATGAGCTCAATAAACCTCTCCTCTTTTAACTTTGGGTGTTGGGTATTTCATCTCGGCAATGTGAGAAATGAACCTCACACAAGTCTTTGACATTAAGTAAATACAATGCTGCAAGGTACAAGTTTCATGTATGGTTGGAACTCTGTTGCTATGAACCCTAGCTTTTCAAACTTAAAAGCTTCCCGAGAAGGTTGCTGGGTGAATATATTCGAGCCTTAGCATGGTGTGGTCTGTGGATGGAATCTGTGGTCTGGAACCTGCCATTTACTAATGGGATAACCTTAGTGAGGTTAACTCATCTTCTTGTTCTTTAGTTCTTTTCTTGTTTAGAAAATTTAACTGACCACAAATATCCAAATGCTGAGAATTCTCTGATTGCTTACATTCAGGAAGAATCATAGTGGGAATATGCACGTGCGTGTAAGATTGTATATTTCCTGTTCATCATCACTGGTCAACCGAGAAATGCAAATTAAAACAGCATTGAGATTTCATCTCACTACAGAAAGAAGAGCTGCCATCATGAAATCAACTGATAACAAATGTTGGCAAAGCTGTGGGGAAAGAGAAACAGTCTACACTGTTTGGGGGAGTGTAGACTGGTGCAACCACTACGGAAATCAGTATGGAGAATTCTCAGAAGACTAGGACTGGAAGTTTCATTCAACCCAGCTATTCCCCTCCTGGGTATTTTCCCAGAAAAACTGAAAAGGTCATGTCACAGTGATTTATGTGCCCCTGTGTTCATAGCAGCAAAATCTGTAATAGCTAAATCTTGGAAACAATCAAAATACCCATCAACTGCAGAGTAGATGAAAAAGATGTGGTATTTTTATATAATGGAATATTACTCAGCTATAAAAAAGATGGTCTTGAGGCCTTCATAGGTAAATGGAGGTAACTTGAGACTATCCTCATTAGTGAAATAAATAAGAATCATATTTATAAATATTACATCGTGTCTCTAGTGTAAAAAGTAATAAGAAATGTAGGAGTAATAAAACCCAAAATGTGTAATTGCTTTTTTTTTTTATCAGTACCAGGGATCGAACTCATAACCACCTGCTTCCAAGGCAGATACTTATGCCGCTGAGCTAAATCCCTAGCCCCAGTAGTTGCTATTTTAAAAAACAGAGGAAAAGAAAGTGCTCTAAAGGATATAACTGCATGTATGTTTAAGTGTGTAGGATTGACAGCCATATACTAAGTTTTCATTGGATCATTGAACAGAACTGTTTGCAGTCTCACTGTTTGAATGTCTACTTTGTATGCTTTAATTTTGTAACTTGAACAACTATTTCTAAGACGACAATAGGTAATTTATCAACTAGTGTTTTCTTACTCTTTATTTTTTTGAAATTCTGTATTATTTCTACCTTTTTTCTGTTTTGCTTTTTTTCTCTTTAAATAAAGTTTTAAAGAAAATATTGTGTATTTCCATATCCTCCTTCTATAAGCCTATCGTTTCAGTTAACAGATGATTAGCAAAATCTAATAATTTAAAAAATCTCCCTGTGTCCCTTGCTAATTCTTCCTGATAGATGTTTTAAACTGAAAGGAGCTTGGCCAGTCAATTTCAAAAATAACTATATCTATTATTCATTTATTTATTATATCCTCTGAGCTCTGGACCAATCAGAGAAATTCATTATGCTTCCTAACCCAATCACATGAGATTCTCCACCATCGTGGTTTAGTCTGTTTGCTTTGCACTCAGAGTCTGATCCCAGCAATCTAAAAGTCTTGTGTTTGTTCAGTATAAAAAATTCTCCTGTTCAGGACTTGACTTTGAGTCTCTGTGGGAAGCCTGCAATCAAGGCGGATCTGTTGCTCTAGCAAGCTCGGAATGAGGCACCCTCACTGACCATTCATTTGTGGGACAGATGGAATGCCATCGCTGACTTCCACAAATCTGAGATTGTTGTTAATCCTGGTGGATGTGGCTGGGACAGGCTGAATGGGTTGCTGTGAGTGTCATTGCCACAAATCGGTTTCTGTTTTGCTGTATGGATGTTTTATATTTGGGGAAATTAGGAAATAAACATGGTTAATTCCTCAAAGAATGAAAGAGAAATCTTAGTCTTTGGGTTATTTGTTTAGTACCGCATTAAACTTATGGCGGTACTCTCCTGGAAACTCCAATTTATTGGTAGCTGTCTATTGCTCTGGTTCTTGGATTTTCTGTGCTGTGTCTGCAGAGCTGCATGGAAAACTTTGGGCAGAATGTCACGGAGTGAACCTGGACATCGGATTCGGGGAATTAGAAGAGAAGCAGGAAGAAAGCAGTTAGCCATCTGAAGAGTTCATTTCGTATAGAAACAAGCTCTGAGTCCGATCTATATACCTTCCCAAGGGAAATTTAAGCAATTGAAGGTAATTTATGAGATTGTTTTCGAGAAAGGCCAAGATGCAGGAGAAAGTATGCAGTTGAAGGGGCACTTTTGCTTATAACTTGCTGCAGTTAAGTCCTGCCAACAGTAGGGCAAGTAGTTGACTCCAGGAATTCTTGCTGAGGGCTTCTTTTGTCTGGGTTTTCCCTCCTCTATATCATGCAATGGTAGGCTCAGACCTCTGAAGGCTCTCTGAGTCTCTGTGTGTGTCTGTCTCTGTGTCTCTCTCTTTCTCTGTCTCTCTGTCTCTGTCTTTTTCTGTCTCTGTCTCTCTCTGTGTCCCTGTCTCTGTATCTGTCTCTCTGTCTCTTTGACTCTGTCTCTCTCTGTGTGAATGTGTTTCTCTCTCTATGTCTCTCTCTCTCTGTGTCTGTCTTTCTCTATCTCTGTCTCTGTCTCTCTCTCAGAGCCTGGCTCTTTACCTGTGAGTATTTGTAAGAAATGCTACAGAAGAGGATGCACTGTACTGAGACCTGTGTGATGTCTGATACTACCCAGTTCCACAGAGACTCTAATGAGGCCCTTTGGTGCTCTCTATTCTAAGGGACAATGCTTATTCTCTCCAGGAATTTTCACCATGGGGGCTTTGAAGAGAGCAGGCCTTGTAGAGTTTAATTCTGAGGCAATTTAAGTCAAAGAGACTCAGGGATAAGTTGTAATCAGAAAGGAAAAGGCAGACAGTGTTTCCAAAAATAAAAGCTTTTGCGCATAAGAGAGGTCACATGAAAGTGATCTTCTGTGTTTGATGGTCGTGTTCACTCCTTTTTGCACTCCTTTCTGGGTAAAATTAAAGTGAATCAATCTTTTTAACCTGAAATCTTAAGCTATTGACAGACTCTGTAACATTGCTTAGGGAGAAGGCGTCTTTGAGATGCAATTTTCTTGTATTTCCTTCAGGCACAAGACAAGGATGCCCCTTATCACTGCCCCAATCAACATAGTACTGGAAATACTAGCCAGAGCAATTAGACAAGAGAGGGAAATAAAAGGTGTAAAGATAGGAAAAGAGAAAGTTAAATTATCATTGTTTGCAGATGACATGATACTCTACATACAAGACCCCATTGAAAGATTCTTACATATAATAAATAAATTCGGCAATGTAGCTGGATACAAAAATCAATACTCAGAAATCAATAGCATCCCTATACACGAACAACAAAATCACTGAGAGAGAAATAAGAGAAGCCACACCCTTCACACTAGCAACCCAAAAAAATGAAATATTTAGGAATTACTCTTATGAAAGAAGTGAAAGACCTATACAGGCAAAATTATACTACACTGAAAAAACAAATTGAAGATGATCTCAGAAAATGGAAAGACATCCCTTGCTCATGGATAGGAAGAATAAATATTGTGAAAATGGCCAGTCTCCCAAAACTCTTATACAGATTCAATGCAATCCCAATGAAAATACCATCAACATACCTCACAGATCTAGAAAAATCACTCCTAAAATTCATCTGGAGCCAGAAGAAACCTAGAATAGCAAAGGTAATACTAAGCAGCAAAGACAAAGCAGGAGGCATCACAATCCCTGACTTGAAGTTATACTACAAAGCAACAGTAGTAAAATCAACATGGTACTGGAATCAAAACAGAGCTGAAGATCAATGGAATAGATTAGAAGATACAACCACAACTACAAACACACTCAACCACCTTATCTTTGATAAAGGGTCCAAACAGGTTTACTGGAGGAAATTCCAATATGCCTCAAGGTCTATAGCGATTGGGTCTGATTGCCCAACACACAGATAACTAAATTCTCTCCAAAAGCACCATGATTTTCTCATACTACTGTTTATTGAGAACTTCTTGGGAAACATCTTAGGGTAAAGGAGGGTGAGAACTTGTGGTGCTTTTTAAAATATTAATGTTTTTATTTAAAAAAAGAAAAACATAAAAGGACTGAAATAATACAGAATTTTTAAAAAATTGACACTAGCGAATATATTGTATGTTGTTATCTTAGAAATAGTTGTTCAGGTTACAAGATCTAGGCATAAAAATGATCAGACAATCAAACAGGGATAGCGCAAACTGTTCTGTTTGATGAACTAACAGAGAATTAGTAGTATAGTTATCTACCTTGCACACATATACATACATAAAGTTTTATGTGTGTACCTACATACATATAATCTTTTCCTTTCTTATTTCTCTCCTTTCCCCTACC